TTGAGACAAGCTGTGGTCGAGTCAAATATAACGTGTAGACGATGGCAGGCGTCACATAAAAAGATCCAACACAGCGTAAAGCATAAAAACAACCTTAAATGGATAATATGAGCAGTCAGCCATGGAAAGACATATACTGCAGACTGGTTAAGAAAAATATAGACTAAATATAGGATAATAAATCATCCAAATGAGTCCACCACAGTGACACATCTGAATAGGCAGCACTTTAGTCCAATATTAAGTTTTAAGGACAGTTTTTACAGGCACTTTAGTAAATATTTCTGTAGACTTCAACTAATACATAAAACCCATTATTGCATGTGTGACTGAATATGTATTGTGCAATGAGCTCGATGTCCAACCTGTCTGGACTATACGCAGCCTTATCTGTGAATGGGCTTTATGACAATGATGATGTTACTTGCCTTTCAAACAGGGTAACATGATGGAAAGTGTGAGTGAGCTTCATCCTCTATTCACGCCTCTTCGAGCCCATAATGTCTCCATGGTCTCAGCCTACACACACACACACACATACAGAGTTGGTGGATGAGACTGGCCCCTTGTATATTTAAAGAAAAAAGCAGGTAAAAAGAGAAAAGATATCCCACCTTTCACATAGATTCCTCACCTAAAGTCCAAATCCTCTTCTTATGGGGTCAAGGAGAGGTTAACGTCCCGCTCCCCAGCCCACCCAGACCTCTCACATACTTGGCTTCTCAACAAACTCACTCACCACCTCTGCTGCCACTGACAAACCATCTGTCTAACTTCTCACCACATGGTAACAAATGTGGCTTTTGATTCACGTCTGCTTCTTCAGCCTTTTAAAATATTTAAGCAGTCGAAGCTTTAATCATTTATCATCCCATTTTTGAATATAGGTTTGTTTATCCAGGATGTCATAAAAGTGTGTTAACTGGCAGGCAAAGGAATGAGTAGAATAACTGTCATAATTGCAGATGTTTGTGTTGACTTTGTCATTACATGGACATAAAATTAGCAATGTGAAATTTACAGTCCTACCAAATAAATAATTGGTTTTAAATCACAACATGCAAAATCATATCCCACATTTTTTTTAGTAATGCTAGCAGCATGGCTTTAAGGATCATAATGTCAGTTGACCACTTTGATCCAGATTGAAATATCTCAACTACTGTTGGATGAATTGTCATGAAATTTTTTTCAGACATTCGTGGTTCCCTGAGGATGAGGAAGACTTTGGTGAAAGTACAGTCTAAAAGAGCCAATAGCTAGCATGGCTTTGTCTTGTTAAAAGATGCTCTGTCTGGGAGAGGCTTTTACAGCTGTGCAGTTCCAGTAGCTGACAGCTGTGCTGAGTGGAAAGTGCATGTCTTTGCTGAACTGTTGAGGGGTGGAAAGATCATTACGGCTAAAAGCCACAGGGAGTTTATACATTTACCTATAAATCTTAACAGAACAGACAAAAGCACGTAGATATCACGCAGACGGTGGTGTACACATATTGTCAGGGCAGTTTAAGAAGACTGAAGATAAATAATCAGTGTCTTTTTGAGTTTCTTGTACCTCCTGACTGACATCTGCTGCCTTGTGCACCTGTACAATCAGTATAAAACCAAACTGTGTACTCAGTCTATTTTTAAAGACACAGATGACATGAATTGATACAGTGCCAAACAGTGTCAGCTAATGTAACGAGACAGCTGTTAATGATGAAGCTGGCTTCACTGACCTCCTGGGCTGGGGTTTGGTTTGAGGTGGTGGTCAGGATGTTATAGTATGTCGCTCTGTGTAACGTTTAAAAAAAATAAATAATAATTAAAATGTGGGCTCAGGATCACAGTGCAACCACTGTTCGACAAGGATTCCCTGACTCCACACAGCCATGTCTGCAATGTGTATCCCTGCCCAGATGTGTGCAGCTGCTCCAAGGAGGCTGGCCAACACGGCTCTGACTCAGTGTTTGGTTTACAGCCAGTGGAATCTGCCAACTGTTGAGTGTCCAAAGCTGGTTGGCAACTCAACTTGACGACAATGTTGCTTTTAACCTGCTGCAGACAAACAGACTGACAGCTGCGAGCACAGTGAGAAGTCTGAGCAGGAGAGTCTGAAAGACAATTAATTCAATATATTTACTGAAGAAGAGATGACATGTTAAATATCAAAGCATTACAAAGTGATTTACCATCCACTGTAAGCAGCGCTAGAGTGAAATTAAAATGTTTTTGTGCTTTTAAAAGACAACAAAATATCAGATTTCTACACAACACTCCTAAACGTTGCCTCTAGAGACATTTCTAGCCCAGTCTTAATGTTTGGGGTAAACACTGTCTGCTTTTGCTACACGGTCACATGAGCAGGGGCATTACATTAGAACAGCCTCCTCTGTTGCTGTACACTTTGGAGCCCGAGGTCCTGGGACACATTCTTTGAGAATGTAGATATGTCCACAGCAGAGGGTTTAATAAACACAGACATGCAGAGTCAAGAGGGAGCCATGATTTACAGATCTCAAACACACCATGCTATGTTCAAATAGTGCACCATAATACTGTTTTACTGTTGTGCTAAGCAATAAACACAATTATTAAGTAAATGTTCACATTTAGATTGAATCTATTGTTAATCTCTTGTAACTAAAACCTATCTACATATTAATACCAGCAAAGTGATGTGACAATAAAATTGGTTTCCCAGACAAAATGCCACACTTGACCCCCATTTCAAATGCACATAATTTATTACAGTATTACACGAGCTCTGCCTAAATCCAGCCAGTCTTCTGATATTTAAAAATCAGGTCAGTATAAGTCCAAATATTTGATGAGCCAAATATCAAACCCTAATCCAAAGAAACATAACATGCACTTATTAACAGGGGATGAATGCATTTAATGTATTTAACCCTTCAAAAGATAACTACCAAGTTGTTTCTCTTACTACCAGCAATCTACGGAGCAGTTTATTTTCACCATTTAAACACATGCAGAGACAGAGACCGTTTATCCACTGTCGTACCGCATTCCAGCCGACTCAGAGGCATTAAGAAAATATCAAATGTCTGCCAGTGCTAAGATTTTATATAGCCTTTATAAAGTCTGGTGAGTGACAAACCAAAACACATTAAAATTGGAAAGACATTACATTACAGCAGTCAAGAGTTAGGGCCTCATATAGGAGCACATTAAATCACTGAATTGTGCATCTGAACATGTCACCCATCGTTTTGCTTTTCTCCTACCTGCTTCATATCACCGTTACTTTTTAATTTTCCTCTTTTTCTGCAGCTCTCTCCTGTTCTAGTTTCTCATTAGTGTACAGTTATTTGCATAACTGGCCTCGTGAATCCCATATCTGTCTTTAATTTGCCCTGTTCTGCTCTGCAAAGCATTAGATGAATTAATATTTGCATTCTGCTACCTTGAGGACTTACTCCCTCCTTATACTGTGCAGAGTCACATCTTGTTTTGCTGCTGCTGCCAGTTTCTGCCTTTAGGAATGTCACACACTGGCGTTTCAGCACAGAACAGGCCAAGTAGTCTGTTTAAAACTCAACTCCCTCCCGCAAAAACCCACAATATCTGGAGCACAGATTTGTTATAGATTTGATGTGAGCCAGAGTCAAGAGTAACCTTATAGGACAATAGCCAGACTCATTACGGTTTGCATGGATGCTGCCACTGTAACTTTGTTAAGTCTTTTAATAAGACCCGCTGCACCACACAAAGCAGATTCTACAGTAAAGTCTGATGCCCATGGCTTTGCTCCATCATGTGCTCCTTTTGCTTGGACAGTCAAAGTCCTTCAAGGCTTTGTGCTGGAATGAATTTTCTGAGAACCAGAGCAACCTGATGATGCATTTAAAGATTTTTTTTATTTATATTGCAAGTGCTCTACAAGGGTGCAATTTAAATTATTCCTGTTTCCAAATGAATACAATAAATAAAAATCTCTTTACAACTGAACCATCAAACATGGAAAATTACAAATACATCATATTTAGTATCGCTACACATGTATACACAATGCATGCTTTTTTTTCTTTTACAAAAAACCCAAATTGCATGGTTTGTTGATGGCCCATGCCATGTCAACTTCCTTAAATGGTTATTATAATGAACATATAGGTTCAGCTGCACAATCATAAATAAGTATACAATCCTCAACCTGGTCATCACATTTGATTTATCTGAAATGTAACTGGCTTTCAGATGGTACCTTTTGGAAACTTGAGACTTCCACAATAAGCCAATGTTGTTTACTATCACTGAATGCTAAAACCAAAAACAAGTTGGGTGTTGAGCAAATGATTTACTACTTAACCTATGATAAAATTAGTACAATTTTATTCTATCTGAGATTAGTAATAAATACAAGAAGTATTTGTTTACTGTTTTTGGGTGTAGTTACTCTGAAATAACTGATCCAATAATCCTGGTAAACTACATTGTACAGCATTTCTTCAGAATGTGCTCTTGTTTTTGTTCAGTTTAAGTGAAATATTTATAGGTTGAACTGATGCAGCACACTTTATCTCCGATTCCCTGTCCTAAATGTAAATGGCTTTTAAATAATACTTTTAGAAATAAATAAATGTAGAATGGTTAGAGAGAGGCCAGGTAAGTAAATCAGCTCCATCTGCTAGTTCATGTAATCTTACCGGCTACATAACATGGCAATCTCATGAAATGATCAACACATGGAAAAGAAAAACAAACTGTTTTAACTTCTGAGTAACTTGATGTAACCTACTGGAGACCAAAGGGAGGAAAGTAAAAATATCAGATAAAGGAAATAAAGGGAAACAGTTTGAAAGTGCAAAAATGTGAAGGGATGGGGGAGGGAGGGAGGGGAATAAGAATCAAAGCATTTTGAACACAGTTCAGAGAATATTACATAGCTTCTGTTATAATGAACACTGAGGGGTTTTTGTCAGGGCTGCACTTCTGCTCCTTTTATTCTAGTGCTCAACCTGGTCATATAGCTGAACATCTCTTTAGCTTCTTCCCACCTTAAGATGGAAGAGCCAAGAATCCAGTCGCAGACCTAAATAAAGATATTTGAATCAGGCCAGGGTCCAACAAATATCTTCGTATTGAATCAAAGCCTAAAAAAACCAAACAAAACAAAAAAACAAAACAAGAAAACCCAACTTACTCCATGTTGCTTTTCAGCTGATGCACAGTTCGCTTGTCCAGGTAACGGCAGAAGAGAGTGAGCAGGTTTGAAGGCAGAAGGAGCGGCTCCACCAGTGAACACTGGGACAGCTGTCCCGCCACCTGGAATATTGTGTCAGTCCTACAGGACAACAGGAAGAAGAATGTCAGAATCCCATAAGAATATTGAAATCATCTCCCTTCATGGAACAGTCGACTAAAAAGCCGCACCAGGTCTCAAAGTCACCGATGCTGGGCTCGAGAGGAACACCTGAAGACAGCAGCTTCTCTCCATGGGACAGGAGAGCATACAGTAAGGACAGTCCAAACTGAAAGGAAAAGGAGCAAGTGAGAAAACTTCAGAAACTTTAAAATAAAATGAGACTAAACAAAATTCAAACAGCAACAGAAAGCACACACCTTGTTCTGACATGCCAGTGTAAGGCACTCGTATGTTGATAGAGACTCGGATGACGTCAGATCTTTGAGGACCCTAATCAGCTGACTGAACGCCAGGCCACCAATCACATTTCGAAGAGGTGGGTAGAGCACTGGAAGCGCCTAAAGCGGATGTGATGATAACCGTTTCAAGCAAAACTGCCAAACCTCCAGACACTCAGAATTTGCTACAGTTCCTGGTATGCAACTGAAAAGTTTTGGTTTTGGGACTGTTGGTCAGACAAAATGAGCAATATGAAATTCCTTTGTCTCTGGAAAATTATAATTTACACTTTTGACCATTTTCTGACTTTTTATAGAACAAACGGATAATCAGTAAAATAACAGATGAACAGAAATAGAATTTTCAGCTTATGGTTTTTGTTGAGTACATCATATAAAGAAAAATTACATTTAAACTTCACACAAAAACACTCTCCTACCTCTTCTGCATCTCGGCTCATCAGTGTAGGAAGGTTAGAGGCCACAATACGCAAGATTTTCATTGCAGAATCATGTTTCAGGAACGGGATTAGACGGGCGAAAAGCCTTTTGCCTTTTGAGACCAGCAGGAAAGGAAGAAACTCCCCTCCTGAATCTCTACATCAAAAAGTTATTTGCTGAAATTCAGTGCCCATCAAAATCTTATCTATTTGGTGCAACTTCAATAGGGAAGCACAAACAAGAATAAGCCGAAATTTACTTATCTACACGCAATGTTTATACAATATGCATCACTTCTTTCAAGGGGCTGGGTGTATATGACTCACAGAGGGTCGTGGTGTTGCAGCTGGGAGTAGATGTGCTCCACCTTCCTCTGGGTCTTCTCCATCAGCCTTCTTTCTTCTGCCTCAGACAAGACTGTGGTTTTCATCCTTTCTGTTTCCTCGACCTCCAACAGAGCCATGAACAGCTGCAGAGCACAACAGGTGTGACTGACTGCCAGTAAAAAAAACTGGTAACCAGCAGTTACTTTCAAAACAAGTAACCAGCAGGTACCTTTTCTATTTTGCTGAGGACCTCTAACCGCTGTTGTCTGGTGTCTTTTTGTTCCTGTAATTTGGAGGTAACGGTGTTAGCATCTGAGTTGGCAGATTAATACACAAGATGCCAGAATTTGTCTCAAACACACAAGTCACCTCAAGCGGACACTGAGCTTGGACTGCGTGAACTGCACTGATGGCACGACGAGGAGAGTAACATGTGGACACAGCAACTTGACCCAAAGAGCCTTCAATGTGCACCACTGGAAGAGCAAAAGACTTATAATTGTAGACATACAATTGTATCTGCATAGAGCCCTAACAACCTTCACCACAAGCTGGGGCAGCCTGTATATACCTGAGAGGACACATCAAATGGCAAAAAGGTGAGGCAATAAAGGTAATGGGAGAAGAACCTGGTGTGTAGGAGTCAGTCTTTGTGATGTAAGGTGTGGTGAGCTTGGGTGGCTCCCTCTTGCTCCTGATGCCAAGCTCTTCCTCGGCCATCTTGGCTTCTATTCGTCGATAGTACTCCTACGACAAGGTTTAAATAGATGAACCATGAAAATTCATTTTCTTTGCTTATGCATGTGACAGTTTGCTTACATGATACAGGAAGTACCAAAAAGAAGCAAAGGTAGGTTTTTTTTTTGCTCAAAAGCAACAATGAATAATGACACTAGAGTAAAGACGTCCTACCTGGTAATAGTAGTCCTCAAGGTAAGGATTCTCACTCTGCAGCTGAATCATCTGCAGCCTGGTGATCCACTCCTTCTCTTTGCCCGTCATGAGGTTACGGTAAGGATCCCAACCCTCTGATTTTCTACAAACGGATCATGTCTTTTGTAAATAAGCCCATTCCTTTTTCTCAACATAGTGAATATGACAAGTTCAAAATCTTTACTTGACATAGAACCAACCTTTGGAATATGCGCTGTTTTTGACTAAGTAAACGTTTATGTTGAGGGTGGAGCTGGGTGACAGGACCGGGGTACCTGTTGATCAGACAGACTCAGTTTTCTGCTTTACATTAAAAAAATGTATGTCAAACAGTAGTTTGTCAGTTGACAAAGTACACAGCTCTATTACTTTAGACAAAGTATTGATACTCCTGATAAAATATTACTCCATTACAAGTGAAAGTTGTTCAATCAAATTTTACTTGAGTTAAAGTACAGCAGTACTTGCTTGGCATAGTTATATTGTTCCACATTTAAAGAACCTAATGACTATGAAACAACCTACTGAATGCGCTGACTTACTGCAGAACCTGTCAAATAAATGTTGTAGAATATGCTACGAAGCCTGTAGAAAAACAACTGAATCAACAAAAGGACAGTTGCTGTACACATTTCCGAAAGTCAAGTCAATGGAAAGAGTTTTATATACTCATGAGCGATGTACAAGACTGCCAAGTCATAAACAAACTTGATACTTTGCTGACAAATCAAACAGTCCTGTGAGATACACAAGCTCACACACCTGAAATGCTGCACTGGATTAGACGAGGGGCTGTCAAAGGGGGACGGTCTTGGTGAGTTGGCACCAAAGCGCAGCTGCATCATTTTAGGATTCAGAGGAGTGGAGGGGCAGCGGTGGGTTGAAGGAAACATGAATCTCCCCGTCTGATTCAGCACAAATAACATCATGAGTCAGGACAAATATAAATTTGGTATTTGCATTAATGTATCAGAGTAGGTCTAATTTAATTTGGAATAAACCTGATTGTAATGCTGCCGCGGGGTCAAAGGTTGACGTGAGAAGATGGGTGATCCTGGTGTTATTGGTGCTTGCATCTGCAAGACAAAAGCAATCCAGACACTAAGATTAAGTGAGGAAGTTGAAACGCAACAACTTTGAGTGTTTGTTTTAAAGAATATTTCCCCATTTTAGAAAATCTGCTTATTGACTTTCTCTTGCCGAGAGTGATGATGAAACTCGAGGTTGCTACACTACACTGCTACACACACTTTAGGGATTCTGGAAGGTGGATTTGAGTATTGTCAAACTATTCCTTTGAAATGAATGATTATCCACCTGAGAGTGGCCTCTTTGGCCAAACTGTCTCCTGTAGTAGGGTCCTCTGAGTTCCCCTCTCCTGCTCCTGAAGGAAGAGACAGGATATGGCAAATCCAGGAAGTTGGAGGTCAGGTGCTGACCTCTGCCTCTGTGACCATCAATCACACAAACTATAGCACTGTCCTAAGAAACAGAATAAAATAAGACAACTATTTGTTTTAAGTAAAACACTGCCATATAGATTATATCATGGTCTTTAGTGATCTTATCTTAACCTGAAGTAGTGATCCTGAGATCCGTCTGGTTTTTCTGTAAGAGGGTGCCATCCACTGAGGAAAAAAAAAGTAAACAGTGAAACATTACAAGCTCAAGCAAAAACTAAAATGTCTTTAAAAGTTGGCACTTACATCATCTTCAAAGGTTTTATGGAACATGGCGTTCCCACAGTCCACTATGGCACTGTCAAGACTCTTAAAAGTAAAAGAGACCAAAATGAAGACAAGCTGCTGTGAGGTGAGCTGTCTAACTGCACTTTTCAGACAATAAATACATCAACCTGCATCACCTTGAGGCTTGGACGCCCCTCCACTATCCTCATCACAGCTGGGTCTTCAAACATTTGCCCCCTGCCCAGACCTCCCCTGTGTCCTCTACCTCTGCTACGCTGCCCAGGGGGAGCCCGGGGCAGATACTGTTGCCTCTGTCTGGGAGGGGAGGGGGAGCTGTGGGGAGACAGAGGTTTGGGGTCTGGTGGTGGAGGTGTTGGCGGAGGAGCTGGTGGCTCTCCAAACTGAAGACTGCCGCTGGGATGCTCTGTGGTCCCATGTGCATCAAGATCTACAGGCACATGATTAAACTTTTTTACACTGAAAAAACACCAAATGACAAAGTTGAACTTGAACTTCATTCATTCAGCTTGTGCAGCTCGGGTGGTGATTACCCTTGGCTGGGTCACCTGACTGAGGGAGTCTGATGTTCGAAAGACCCGAAAAACCCTCAGGATACATCACTGATGATGTGCCCTATCTTAGCATCAACAGATTTTTCATTACGAATAAACTGTGTTACAGGACCTTTATTTTAAATTAACTAAAGTAAAAATAAACTTTGAATGAACTCAATGCCAAAATTTCAGAAAATGGATTTTAGACTTTCCGTCTCAATTTTATTAAAGTTTGTTGACTTGAAAGAACAGTTTGACATTGAGAAATGTACTTATTTTCCTTTTTTTTTTGCAAAGAGTTAGATAAGAAGACTGACACCACTCTGTCTGTATAATAAACAGTTCCCAGCTTGTCAGCTTATCTTAGCATAAAGACTGGCAACAGGGGGGAAATGCTAGCCTGTCCAAAGGAAACAAGATTAAGAGCAGTTGTTTGGCAACTAGTCCTGGCAAACAAACAGTCCAGCACATGATGCTGTAGAACAGATTATTGGCATTTTACACTTACTCATATTTACTGTACAGATGAGAGAGAGTGAAAGACAACAATCATCTCATCTGACTTTGGGCAAGAAGGTGCATGAGTGCATTTCTCAAAATATTTAACTATTCCTTTGAATTTTCATTCCCCCCTTGTTTTCCTTTTTACATTGTAAAAAAGGAACAAAGTTTGACAGACATGTTGTCCCATCTGAAAACAAAAGGGTTATATCTGTTTTAAATACTGAGGGAAATGTGACAAAAAATAACATTAACACACCCATTCCAAACGTCTCTTCATTGAAGATATTTATCTCCTCATCCTCCTCAGCCATGGCCTGCAGGAGCCCACAGTCCATGTTGGTCCCATCCTCTCCATCACTCCACTCACCTCCATTCTCAGGCCACTGAGGCTCAGACACTTTTTCAGTCTCCTGGGTGGATGGAGAAAGCTTGGAGGTAAAAATAATAATAATAAAATGACTATAAAGAAGCTAAGCCACACTGAGCACCATATTCCCTCTCTTTCCTACGAAATTGAACGTTTTTAGCATCAAACCAAATGCTTATTCTCAGCATGCAATGAATCTCGTTTGCTAGCACGCTGTTTAGGCCCTGACCAGACACTGGCGCTTGCTGAACACAACATTAATCACGCATTAAAAAGCAGACAATTGATAGTGACTTACTTGTTGCTGTCGTGAATCACTCATTGTGTATATATATTTGTTTTACACTTGAAGCCGACGGGTGACGGTGACTTTCTTCGCAAGGTTACCTGCTTTCTCTTGCCAGACAGCGAGGGAGGCTCATTAACTTTTAAATGAACTCACCTGTGAGGCGTGCACACGTCAACACGCTGCACGTGGCGGTCATCTCGCCTCTATTGTATGCTGCAGTTTATGAATATTTCATTGTGTTTTTTACTCGTTGAATGAGTTTGTTAAATGTTCACTTTGTGTTCTTTGAAAACACGGACAGTCTAAGGACTCAGCCTTTGATTTTTAAAACGGTCGGACTCCGTTCCTCTGGGAAACACTGAGCGAATACTGACACCTAGTGGACAAACTGCACGTTCAGTTCACATTCACTTCCAACCACGACTTCACACTACATACATGGAGTAATTGATTTGTTCTGCACAGAAAAACTACTTTTTAATGCATAAGCGGATAAAGAAATAAATATTGTATGTAGGACTGATTCTCTTATATTGCCAATTTGACCAAAGGCAAAAGAAATGCACCTTAAAATCTTACAAACATCTTTTTTTCTGAACTTTTCAGAAACCTAATTTCCAAAAACTATTTATTTATTTATTTATGAAACTACTGGCGTTGTTATGAATTCAATATCATGAATAAACTACAATCTCCACCCCTCCCAATTTTCATCTATTTAGATACATGTAATTTCAGTTTTTTTCTCAAAACTTATTTTCTTTCTTTAAGCTGATATACATCTGCTGAGTCTGATATCTTTGTTCTATGTTCTTACTAAACTTTGTTCAGATGCTTATGCTCCTGATTCTTTGGCTCACTCACCCACAAAACAGCAAAACCAGTTGTGTTCTCCTTTATTTTATTCTTTGGAATTGTTTTTTTTTTTTTGGCAACTTGCATAGAGCAATAGAAAAAGAATAATGCAAAATATCTGACTTTAAACATACGGTAGCTTAGTTTGTTACACAAAAACATATATAGCAGTCAGCATACAATGTATAAAAGCAATTGCAGTGACACTTATACCTTTGCAATATAAAGCAAATATATTAAAGGGGATTTTCTTGCACAACAGTACAAGTCCTTCACTGAAACAATAAATTTGCTCTCATTATACTGTTTTTTTCTACCTTTGGCAAAAGAATTCAATTTTCAATATTCAATTTGAATCAATACAGTATGCAAAAGATTTACATACATGACAAAATCATTTGGCATCATTTTGTGTCTGTCTAACCAATACTATATTTATATTTCATACTGCCAGTCTAAATTCAGTCCACTTTTTTTTTTCTTTTCAGATAAACAGAAATGAGTAGGGTTGGATGATTCTCTTTTTTCCCCATCCCTCTATTGACTCAAATATTCTTAAAACCAAGAAAGAGACCAGCTCCACCCTCATTCCCACAGTAAAAAACACTAATTGAGAACTCAGAGTCATACAGCTTCTCTGACCCAGAGGACGGGGGGCAAAGTCCAGCTGAATCCTCAACCAAAGAGTTTGATGAAGCAGGGGTGGCAGTAGGGCTTGTTCTCCTGCTCCTTGAAGCAGCCTTTGCTCAGGGGCTTCAGGCAGAAGTGACACACGAGGTGGTGGGGGTGGAATTTGGCCCCCATGGCGGTGACGCAGCGGCCCAGGATCGGCTGTTGGCAGGCCTGACACACGCTGCCACGGGACTGGTGGTAGTGGGCCTCGCACAGCGGCTTGCCCTCATGTTCGAAGAAGCTGCCGTTAACAAAGGGGCTGTAGCACTCCTGGAGACGAGAGGGAAAGAGAAAAGCAGCATGATTCAGTCACAGCAGAGAGTCCTGACTCATGGAACTGTAATTAGAAAGATGTCATTTCTCATGACATAATTCAAACTTATTTTTAGTTTGTTTTTTTTTTTTAAACTTTTTTTTATACGCGGTGCCTTTTTTCAGGAACGCCCTGCTCACACACACAGTTACACACATGCACAAATCACAACCGCTGAGTGATCCGCTGGTCGCTAAGCTGCTTCACTGTAGCAGCTGTGGCTCAAGTGCCTTAATCAAGAGTGCATATTAAACAGATATCATCATTCATATATCATTATTAATATTTTCATAAAACATTCAAATTTAATTTAAATAAATCTGAATCTGTCTTTAAACTCTGTCTGTCTGTAAACTCTCACCTCGGTGCCCTCCATAGCATCTGCAGCCCTGCTCATCTGCATATCACATGAGCCTGACTTTTTCTCAGCATAAACCTATAATAACTGCAACCATAACACACTGGGAGTCAAACGCTTGGTCATTTTACCAGTGTGCTAACAGCGCCACACGCCAAGCAAATGTTTGGCAACTGCAACAGCCATTATTTATGGACATGTCCTTCATGCCCGCAGAGAAACACTCACCCTACATACGAAGCACTGTGGGTGCCAGAGAGAGTTGAGAGCTGAGATGTAGTTTTCCAGAATGGGCTGGCTGCAGCCTTGACAGCGGGAAGCAAACAGAGTCAAGAAGCACTGCTGGCAGTACTGCTGGCCCTCACGGTCATGGAAACCTGCAAAGACACGGTCACAGTTGTACACAGTTCTAGTCCTCCATTGATAAATGTCGAATTATCCGGATAATGCCAAACATTGTCTGAACCCTTTCCATGTAATTCTGCTTTGTGGTACATTAAACTTCAGTCTGCTTGTAATGGTTGTAGGGTTTCCTGATTTGAACTTTAAATGGCTGACAGTATTTCTTTTTCTTCCGTCTCACAGTCTGTAATGTTTTAAATTTGGTCATTTTCATGCCAAGAAAGTACAATGATTCAGTGTTTCTTGGAAAAGGGATGGTAAACTCTCCTTTGTAACATACAAATTAAAAGAGAAAAATTACTGATGTTGAATTCTATATGAACAGATTGAATAAATCATAATCTTGAAATGAAGAATTCATGTACAAAATAAACCATTTAATGAACATCAAGTCATTTTAAAACAATGATTAAATGAATTACTGATTGATTATTTGTGTATGTTTGACAGAAAGGTTCAGTTCTATGTGAGTGTGACCTTGCTGCGGTTCACTGTTAACTGTTGAGTGTCGAACCCAGACAGGATGCAGTACATGCCGCCCATTACCTTCCTCTCCAAACGCCCGGCTGCACTTAACACAGCAGAAGCACTCTGGGTGCCAGTTCTTGTCCAGAGCGGTGACCATTTTCTAAACAAAGAGAGGAATAAAAAGTTACATGGGTTGAGATATTGATTCAAGCTGCTCTTGTCAAAATAAACTCAAAATGAGACACGTGCACATCCAAGTGTCTCACATTTAGTATGGGCTTGTTGCAGTGCGCACAGTGAGGGGAGAAGAGGGTGAAGTAGTCCGACTCGCAGTATGGTCGCCCGTCCTTCTCAAAGAAGTTGCGACTGCCCAACTCTGTCTCACACTCAGTGCACACAAAATGCTCCGGGTGCCACACCTTCCCCAGAGCCGTCACCACCTGCGTGAGGAAACAGTGAATTTGAGTCAAAAAAAAAAAAAAAGCTTTATATACTTGCATGTGCATCAATATGTAGATAAATTCTGATAACGCACCTGTCCCACTACTGGTTTCTGGCAGGCTGAACAGTTTCCCTTGGAGGATGTTTGAACTCCTTGTCGGCTCAGGTCTGATTGAAGCAGCCCCAGCATGCTGTCCAATGAGCCGCCAGATGAGGCTTGTGGGGGGGCGGCGGGCTGCTGCGCTGCCGTCACCACTGGAGTGACGGGCGCAGCTGGCTGTGGGAAGAGAAAGGAAAATGACGCATGGCACATCTGTCTTTGGGATTTTAATTCTCCAAGAGTTAATCGTTGCTCTACAGTTGGTCTGAAATTAAGTGGCATGAAAGACAGCAACTGTTTTTTTCACATCCAGATATGAGGCTGAGGTACTCTGTGGGCAGAGGCTAAAGCAACCAAATATGTTGTTTTTGTGTGTGTGTGTGTGTGTGTGTGTGTGTGTGTGTGTGGTGGGGGGGATTCAAAGAAAGAGGGTGTCCAAGTAACATAGTGCTTAAGACACATCAGCACACATCACCATCCCCTTCTGTCTCCCCATGTTTCCTGCATGTCTCTGCTACCTGCTATCTGCCAGGTCAGACACACTGATTCACAATAGTGGGATATATTGTGTATTTCTGGGCTTTTGTTGTCTGGCAGTGTTTTAATCCTGATGGATAACTGGTCAAAAACAGTAAATATTTGATCATAGATAAGTTAGCATAGAGTTTGATGGGAGAAAATTGTAAATTTTTTTTCTTATTAAACTCAATATTTTGCAGAATCACAGAATTTGTCCACCAGGAGTAGCTTTAATATACTCCACAGCCTCAACACAGTCTTTTTGTTCATTTTGTGGGGGACGTCTTGTGGACTTGATTGTAAACAAACCCTGGCTATGAGCCCACACTGCTGCTTTCTGCTGGCTTTCTGGGGTAATTTTGGGAAATGTAGGAAATCACTTGCTTAAATAAAATCAAACAGTTTTAATGAAAGTGGGTAAATATCAACACTTCAGTAAATACTGAACATCACAAGTTAATGACGACAGTATCCAATGATGTGTTTTCCTCTGTTCCCATAACCCTGTGCTCAGCCTTGTTTATAACCCACAGCTAAAGTGCACACTGGAATTAAGCAACCTTATAATGACTCAACCACCTCCTTTGCTGACTCATTGAAACGCAGAATAACCAGATTATTTCCCACACCAAATGCAAATCTATAACTCTGACTTTCAACTATCTAAAGCTATTTTTGAAGCTGGAAAATATCTCCACCAAGACTAATTTCCATCCTCAGACCATATCTGGTGACTGATTTATACCAGGAGGCATGTGCTGCGGCCAGGCCACACAGTAACAGTGTAGTCATCATGAAGTCAAGTGAACGTCTTCATGAATCCGCAGTGACTCAGTGTGAGCTGTGTTAAAACTTGGGACAGCTGGGCAGAAAAAAAACAGCACGCTCTTACAGTGACACTGTGGATTTACAGTGAGGAAGCTGACAGGTTAAACTGTCGCGTGGACTCTTACTGTGCTCTGGACTCTGAAGTCAGACAGAGAGGCCATCAGTTTGTCCAGTTCCAGTGTGGCTGATGTTGCTGAAGGCTTTGCAGAGCTACAACACAAAAGACAATCCTTGTTTTAA